TGTAACAATACGGACAATAGATCTGAAAACGTAGCTTCAAATTTGTCGTACACTTTGAAATCTGCTGGTCAACTAGGCCATGACTGAAGTTGGAAATATTGGAGCCTTTTTATCTTTCGGACATTGTGAAGTTTCTACGGATTTACCGCCCGGTGAAAAGCTATTTTCTAAGGAAGCTTACTGTCTAAAGATTTTTCGTTCACACTAAAGCAATTAATGGTAATAAAAGAATTATTTAAAGTTTAGGGAATGACTTCTGGATAAAAACATTGTTATATTAAGACAAAACAGATTTTTTTTGACTTTGCTTCTATGATAAGTCATATTACGGGTCGCACGTAACAAAATGTAAACATAAAGTTACGTAGTTAAATTATGTATTTAACTGTACATATAAGTTTATGAGATAAGTCGCAAAACGTAATCAATTAATTCATTTATTAGTATTTCACTATTCCTTCTTCACTTATACGATAAATTTTTCTTGAAGCTCACAAAAGCTTGACTATAAACCGACAAACACTTTCACATAGTGAAGGCAGGTTTTTCGTTTTATTCTATAAGGGTTATAATTAGTTCGATATTCGAATGTATATTACTGCAGTTTCTTGAATAGCGCTGGACCAACTAATGAGTGTGCTCTTAAGAAGGTCATTATATTTAAACTTACAATCTTCCAAGGGACATTACTTTCATCATAGTGAGCTCGTTCTGTTTTTGGCTCAACTCCAACCGCCGTTCAGAGAGGCTCACGAAGGTTTAATGAACGAGTTCCACGATACGTCTCAGAAGATACCTTGTTTTCTTTCGTATTTAACTTATAATTTATTTCTGAACGTTCAATTTTCAAACATAAATCGTTAAACTTGCGACCACAGTTATCTAAGTGCGCGTCATTTTATATTCAATCACTTGATCAGTCTGGCATGCCTCCGCTTTGCAAACCGCACTAATTGTGTATAGATGTTGTAATCCTTAAAAAAAAAAGTACCAAGAGTGCTGCCCATTAGGATCAGTTTGGCATGAAAAAACTCTGATTTTTCTAGGCCATCGTGTAACAAACTCATTATTGGTAAAAATTCAACTTAAAATCACTCTGGTTCTAGCGTCCTCAATTAATGATAATGCTCATATATACATATCCATTCTCAAACACTTTCGTTTAATTTAAAAAAGTATAGTTCGTAATTATTGTCATTTTTGCTACATTGCCCTACTAGATTACTGTTAGTATAAATGCCAATTTCACGTTCTAAACGATGAAAAAATATAGGAAATGCGTGCACTAATCTTCGAAATATTTAAGCATGTCAGATACTTTTGAACTTTTCCAATTTGCAATTGGAGCATATGGCATAGGTTAGGCATAGGGCTATTTGGAACACCCTCACTCCAGAGGGGGCCTTCCTTCCAGTATTGTGGCATAATACGTACGCAGTAAAGTAGCAACTTTACTACAAGCAACTTGTAGCAACACGAATATTGCGTAAGCTAAGTAACCATCACAACAATGTAAGATTGGGAAGTTTATATGTATATGAAAACAATACCCAATGTTGTTTGACAAAGACTAGACGTAATCTGACTTGTTTCATTACCATATTGCTTCTTCTATTAAACTCTACAAATAGTGAGAACGTCAAGTTTGAATATCCGAAGACATTTCTTTTGTTTCTTTCTTTCTCTCTTTGTGATCAAAAGGATTTTATCTGGAATTCCGCAGATAGCTTGTGTAACAGAAAAGAGTTTTTATTATTGTCACATTTATATATTTATTCTATTGGCAGCAATAATTTTATAATAACATCAAAATAGCACCGACACTTTGGCACTCAAATCAGAACAATTGGTGTAATTAGATTGCTATTCTAGAGACTGTATTCTCTTTCCGATTATTACTATTATCAAATATCTTGGATTTCAAGATAGGTCTACATTTACAAGTTGAAACATGATTTAGTACTTCTAATATATTTATGTTGGTTTAAAAAAGCCTAACTAAAAGTTTTAATATTATTCATGCCTTTTGTTGTTGCTTCACTGAATTTACAGCTCTGAATTGAACACTCATCGACAACATTACTTTGTATTATCTTATTTAATTTTATCCCGTTGGTTTAAGGGCATATAAAAAGGAAGCAAAAAAATATTTTTTTACAATGTAGTTAGTAACTTTCGTGACAGACAAAGGGCACATAAAAAGTAACAGCCTATATATGTCCCACTGCTGGGCAAAGGCCTCCTCTATAGAGAGGGTATCAGGGCATAGTCCACCACGCGACCCCACTGCGGATTGGCGGACTTCACATATCTTCGAAATACATTTTTTTTTGTTATTATTTCGAAAATATGCAGGTTTCCTCACGATGTTTTCCTTCACCGCGGAGCACGTGATAAGTCAGCACTTAAAGTTAAAAACTTCATTGGTGCCGGCACCGGGGATCGAACTCAGGTTGCTCGAGTATATTGAATTAAAGGCGAGCGCCCGGACACTGAGCTATCACGGCTCACAGCTATCACGGCTCACATTCGCACATAAACAGAAATTAAATCGTTTCAAATATCTCTTTTTATAATGATGTAGCCTAAAATTTCATATTGTTTCGTTAAACTTCTAACTTTAGTCTTCCTGCTCGGCCTTCCGACTAGACATTCGGCACATACTGACAGAGAATAAATTGCGACGGAACCAGAGTGACCTCGGAAAACCTATCAGTGATTTCTAACACAACTGGGGGAGAAACCACAAGGCCGACGGTATTAGTTTCTCAGCTCGCGTGTACACAGATGGTTAACTTTGCTCCCTCCATAAGAATTCTTGTTTTATACAGCGATAGGTTTCCGAAGTTGTTATAATTTAGCGGTGAATGCCCCCGCTTGTTGTATTAGGTACACGCAATATTGAAATCTACCATTAAATAAACCCTTTGCCCAGTGTACACGATTATTGTGGTTACCGGTTCATAGTTGCTTGTAATTTAGGCGTCCGAAACTGCCCTTTCTTACTAACGGACGTCGATCAACAATAGCGTTTACATATACTAATAGCGGTAATTACATATACTAATAACGGCCTACTCTTCGTTTCGCGATCTGGGTTTAAATCCTGGTCGGGGGATAGGCTCGCCACATGTTAGGTTTTTGGACGTTATAAGCTCGGTTAGACGATATAAAAATTTCAAAAGCTGAATTTTGAAATTCATCACCTCTATAAGGATTAAAACACCGGAGACTCAAAGACCTTGTTATACAAAAGAGCTATAATTTAGCTTCACAGGTATTATTGCAAGTGCACTGACGCAGCCGTCCGAGTTGCATCGAAGTGCGGGCCGGACTGAAAACCGGCGTCGGGATCAGAACAATTTTAGTTTCTGTGAGGCCCGTTCTTTTCACGATCTTAAGCTGCTACACAGACTATATTTTTTTGTTATGTTGACACTTTAAATTTGTGCAATATTTTTTATGTTTTTTTATGTACCTATTGTGATTAGACCATGAATAAACGTTTCTTTCTTTCTAGTTGTTTTATTTCTATGCGGATTATCTCAACGGCGTTAGGCATATCAACATATGACCGACTTACACAACAATAACTTATTATAAGTTAACAAAAGTCTTTTCTCAATATCAATTCATAGTAATTGACTTGAGTTAGATCGGACACGATTGAGTGAAAACGGTGTGGCGATAATTTTGATTCCATTAACATGATTCCCCTAATGTGACGAAATTTTTGAATATCACTGATTATATCCCTTTAGATTGTGGTTTTAATTTCGAACATTTTATTAGACTGTGTACTATACATATTAGTTGCGTAAATACAAGAAATCATTATTGATTTGTCTTAAAACATACCAACTGAGCTTTATACTCGTATGTAGGTCAAAAGTTATGCTACCGACAAGCGACGTATACTCAAATCAGAACTGAACATTAATTGACTATAATTCTGAATAACCTAACATGTTATCGACACGAATAATGGTTTTGGGTGATATAATTCACTCATATATAAAACATAATACACCAGAATTTATCCTCAAAAAGTCAATTGGAATATGGTACTGACCATAGAAATAAGTACGTTGATACATACTAGTTAACTAGTCTATTTGACTGATAGAGAATGTCTTAGGACATTAAGAACGTCATTTGCTACCTGTTGTACTTAAGGTTGGCATTAAAGATTAAATAAATAAATAAAATACTTTGAATTATAGAAAAGCTCGCGAAAAGGTCGCAAGACATCCTATCAGTTTTGCCGCCGTATGTACTATACACAATCCGACTTTGATCCGCCCTCAAAGACAATTGTATATAGACGCAGGCGGCGTGGCTGCATATTCAAGATCCAGTCCAATAGCTCTTTAATGCTGGATAGTGTAAGATAATGCGAGAGTTCCACCAACCGTCTTATTGCTGTTGCTTGTTCTTAACACGTGTTAGTGTCTAATCCACATTCTAGACTTTACTGAAATACCCATAACATATATAGGTAAATCATTTTTACATTACACGTACATATTTATTTGATGACTTCGTGGCGCAGTTGCCAAGGTATTGGCTCCGGCGTCGGGGGTCGTGGGTTCGATCTCCACACGGGACAACTATTTGTGTGACCCACAGATAGTTGTTTCGCATCTGGGTGTTTGTCCGCGTGAAATTTATGTTTGTAAACGTCCTTACAATAGAAGTTAATGTTATCCTAGAGTAAGGGCAATATAAAAAAAAAATATTTAAAAAAACTATCTGAGCATTACTCTTTTAGAAGACCGGCGTAAGGTTTGGTGAGTGAGGTAGCCGGGGCCCACTTTTTAAATGGTGGCAACGCATCTGCAACCCTACGGGTGTTGCAAATGTCTATGGGTGGCGATTACCACTCAGGCGAACCGCCAGCTCGTTTGCCACCTACTCAAATAAATATAGCAACTCGAGGCCTCGTAGCTTTCTTAGTGAGTACAGAGCGGAGATGTTATGTGTTGGGTAACAGCGCTCACCCGACTGTGACGTCGAAGATGTTGCTCCCCACGGAGCTGGACACGGCCATGTCGCCGAAGCCCTTCCTCGCGACGATCACCGACGTGATGAGGTCCGGAACAGAGGTGCCGGCCGCCAGCAGCGTTAGCCCCATCACTTCTGGCGGTATCTGCGCGGTGGCACCAGCCACGTTCGCCCACCACACCATCAGGTACGAAAAGAAAGCTATCCAGACTATCGACCCTATAAACGTTATCGGGAAGAAGTTTTTCCCTGGAAAGGAAAGAGTGTCAGTCAATTCATAACGGTGGTATCGTAGGTCAATAATAAAATACAACTGTACATGGGACACACGGCTTTAACCCAACTGTGGTTGGACCGCTAAAATAGGCAGCGAAAGTCTTCACCGGAATGGGAAGGTCCGCCCAGGGAAGTACCAGGACCTCGCAGAACACCGGCGTGAAGTGAAAGTTACACTTCTGCATTTCATCTGTGTGAGGTAGCCGGCGCCCAGTTTTTCAAATATTGGCAACGCATCTTGTTGTTGTTGCAAATGTCCATTGGCGGCGGTTATGACTTAACAAAAGGTGAACTGTCACACAGTGGGTCGAAACTGCTATATGAGCGACATAGGATTTTTTGTTACAAAGTCTATGAAAAAAAAATACCAATCGAAAGATCTCGTCATTCTGATGAACAATTGTTATTACACGTTTTTCTCTAAATGTTTTCAGTTTTATTTGTATGGAATGAAACAGAAACTGCTAAAATTTGACCAAATCTTGGCTTTAAAACTACTTTACGCCTCTTCTTTAACTTGTTGGCTTTAACATTATGCCATGCTCTCGATGCATTAAATTTTAATTTAAAATGTTCAGTTGCTTCCTTTTTTACATTTTTAATCAGCTCTCAGTTCAGCATTGCGGTTGCAGTTTTTTTCAACCAATTAGCCAATTTTTTTTATTATTTTTTTTAATAATTGACCCCACTTTGGTTATTAAAGCGGCTTAATGATGTTTGAGAATAATGAATTGAGGATTGTGGACGTATTTCAAGAACATTTTCTTTTGTTTTGACTTCAACCTTGTTAGTTTTAGAAATATCTGCAATAAGCTTACCTCTTCTCTCTTTAATTTCTTCTTTGCTGATTTATTTTTCAACACTGTTACCAACACATTACTAAAACAGCTGAAATAATGATGATGTGTTGATGACAGTTAACAGTTGGAGATAAACCTGACATCTGACGAAACAAAACGAGAAAACGTTTTCTTAATTTTTTTAAAAGCTTACAGTAGGTCAGAGGTTGATAATATGATTGAAAGGCAAGTTTCAGAATGAAACGACTGGCAGTTCACAGATGTTTCAAATAAAGTAAAGCCATAAAATACAGAAATTCGCATGGCTGAAGCCACAAATCTGGCTTTGATTAATAAATAGCAATAAAGAGTTCGTGAAAGAAGGAGGATGATACTGCTATATCAGTTTTATCGTCAACAGCGACAATGTAGACAGACGTATACGAAATAAAGGGGCGAGAAATAAAAGAAATCCTTTTTGGTCATAATACGCTTCGGGCGCGGCTCAAGGAGGCAGGTCCTAGGTTTTATTCGTCCTCCCGGGTGGTACATAAACCGCCTGATAATTTCGAACGTATTTTATTGCGTGCCCTCCATTTGTAAAATAGTTTCTCACGACCTTGCTTTATATAGGAAGAACAACTGTACTGTTATATAGCATGTATATGTTCTGGAACTCGTTTTATGATGCAATTGAAAATTCCTTATACTTCAGACGTATTAATGTAGACGTATGTCTACTGTTCTGCTGTTGTCCCTTTAGAACATGATTTATATCATCAGATGTCAGATGTATTTTCATGTGTTAACTGTCATCACCATGATCATCATGTCTGCATGTGTTAGTAATGCGTTAGCAACAGTAACGTAAAATGATTTTTCCTTAAATTATATCCTACTACATACTCCCAATTTGAGTCCTTATAAACATATTGCTTTTGCGGTAATTAAAACCTCCCCAACTGTGTGATTGAAATCGAAATTAAGTTGAAAACAGAATTAAGCTTTGTGGTAGTAACGTATAAAATGGTAACGATGTACTTTATTGCCCGTTTTAGTATGCCGTATCAGATTTCTTGGGCTAAAGGCGTTGTAATAAGAGATCTTGTACAGATCACGTAGTTTATGGAGCAGAGTAATGTCAGGGAGCCCAGGGCCGTCCGTGCTTTCTGCATGCCTGAAGTTATACCTCTCGGAGTCCGCGTGTCCGGGAGGGTCATCCAGAGCGGGAAGACAATTGGCGCGACCAACAGATACGTCAGCCGCTTGCGGAAACCCGAAGGCCACGACATGTCCAGCGGCGTCGTGTCCTCCTCAAGGTCACCTATCTGCAATGCAAGGGTTCACTTTATCCAACTTTAACCCCAATTGTTAATCCACTCTGCTGTATATCACAGGTTTTTGTTTAATACTATCGTTGATATCACTACATAGTATAAAAGAAAGTCGTCCCGCTGTCTGTCTGTCCCTATTTGTGCTTAGATCTTTATAACTACGCAACGGATCTTGATGCGGTTTTTTTAATAGATAGAGTGATTCAAGATGAAGGTTTATATGTATAATACATTGCACCCGTGCGAAGCCGGGGTTGTGAAATTAAAGAAACTTTCTTTAACTAATACTAACAAACTGAAACTTACATTACACACAATTAAAAATTATTAATTGCTACATAGTAAACCGTTAAAACAAACAGCTTAAAAATCGGGACGGAAACAGAAAAAAATTCACCATATTTGTCAAAGTAAATGGCGCACGCAGGAGGCCATTTGTTCCTATTAAATTCAAATTATACAACTACGTAAACGAACATGAATCGTGAAAACATTTTAATATGATTCTTTATAGAACCATTATCGTATATTGTAAACTATTTGCGTTAATGTAATAACTGTGATAATTTTTTGTTTATTCCTGTATATTATTTAAAATATCTGCACTAATATGTTATATACTGTATTTATGATACAAAGATGTTACACCTACCTGAATATTTAAAAAATCACGTTAAACAAAATTTATTATGTAAATGCGCGATCGTTCATTATTTTAATTAAAATGCAAGGCAAAAAAATAATTCATTGCTCAGATCTAGGAAGGTAGTCGTGAAATGGATAAATTTTCAGCCCTCGTTGAAGCTAACTTGATCACTTCATTTTGCCGATCCTAAGTCCGCAAATACACTAATGCTTTAATCCGGCGGAGCGCCGTCCCAAGGAGAGTGGGATTTTCTTTAAAAAACCCCGCAGCTTGTAGCGATAGCAAATAATGGGAATGCGTCTGAGTTAACATTGTGCAGAGCAAATGGCAATTTGTTTATTCGTTTAAATGCTCTTATCTGTTGAGTTACGGCGTTAATTCAGTTGTACTTTTTGCACGTCCAGTGTACAAATAAGTTTAGCAAATGACCCACTGTTGTGAAAAGCATTTCTTTTGTACCGTCCGCAACGGAGTTTGGCTTGCGATAGCCAAATATATTTATGCAAACACTTTCTGTAACTATAAACAATGTTTTTTTATTAATATCTCTATTATAAATTTATTTAATATAAAGAGCAAGATTTTCATTTGATGGTCAAACTACCTCAGACGAAACGCGAAATTAGTACTTTTCCTTTGCCGCTCACTTATACATATAATAATTTAAATCAACGCAACAACCTTACTAATGCCTCCATCGGCATTTGAACACAGCTTCTTCGTTTATATGAAATTAGGCGGAAGAGTCGGCTTAAGTTGAAATAAATTAATCATTGGGTCAGACGAGGTGAGTTATAAAATTGAAAAATTTGCATATCTTGCTCTGGTCCAATACAGTGTTAAAACATGAAATCGGGCACATACATTTATTTCGTATAATTAATATTAGTTCATTTTTAGTTATCGGTTGGATAAAGCCACTTCAATAAGGGCAAAATCAGGGCCAAAATGGAGTACCCATTGTTTGAGTAAAGATGCAATCACGAAACAGAAGAATAAAAATCAATAACCGAATTATAATTTGAAGAAGATATAATTTGCACGAGGTGATCTCTCAATACGGAACCAAACCTGCATCCCGACACTCGTTAGGTCTTCAATCTGTTCACTAAGTTAATGTTTGGATTACAACAGATACCCCATATACCATAATCGCAACAAAATGTTTTTGAAAATTTTGAACCTCTAATTAATTTATTAGATATAAATATTAGTATTCCGCGATGCCCTATGATTCTTAGCAAGCACCCCTCATGGACCACAAGGGATTGTGTGACTCTGAAAATCGACTCCAGTTTATACGTTAGCCATGGAATGATGCATTGAAGTTAATAATATTTTAGCCTACACGTTTTTTGATCATTTAATTGCAATAGGTCTTAGTAAAGAAAAAAATACAATCGATACTTACATTCAATGCTGAGTAAGGGTAAAATGGATAGCGAAAAAGCCACGTCTGTCTTTGAAAAAATAAAATAATCTCTCTTTCCGATGTGTGTGACTTGATTACATATAAATCACTTTATAGCATTGTTTGTTTTATCGTATTTGTGTTTCATCAAAAAGTAAAGTAAAATAACAGCCTATAAAATACGAGATGATACGAACTTAGGTTGCATTTTTAAAATATAGAAGAGAATAAATAAACATTCCCGCTAGAACTGTTTTGAAATGACTTTAGGTTTTATTAGTCTAATCCAGCTTCTCCTTCGAAAGAAGAAAAAAAGAAAAGAAAAAAATTCTCTTCTTGCATGCTTCACACCTCCTCCTTTGCTCAAGACGGCTGTCACGCTCGTTGTGGTTTAGTATTTGATGAAGTTTGAAAGTGTATAACAGACGATGAAAAGGATTAAACCACAGTAGGTCCACGATGTATGAAATTTTATACTGTGTACATGTAATGGAGATAATATATATATAATATATGACATAAAGTCTTAGGGAGCGATACGATAAACACTTGGCCACTTTATTCATCGCAAAACTGATAAGAAGTCTGTATGAATATCTTATGATGAATCTATTTTGAGAAGCCAAGGCATCTCATCTGTATGAAAACGATCGAGTGTGCCAAGACGTTACACTGATAAACGTATATTTTATTCCCATCCGCCACAAATACTCCATCTTAGTCCGCCGAGGACGGGGAGGAATAGCTTTCTTTAGAAGCTGCCGCCATTTTCAACCGACTTTAAAAAAGGAGGACGTTCTCAACTCGACTGTATTTTTTTTATGTTTTTTACCTCAGAACTTTACAGAACAGAACAGAAGCGATTTTGATGATACTTTTTTTTTAAAACTGGTGCTTTCCATGTGGTCCCATATTAATTTAATTGGTATTGGATCTTGGGCTCCGGAGATACTTAGGGAAATCCTGAAAATCAATTATAAAATGAATACAGTGAGATGTTTGAGGTCGGTTTTGTTTTTCGTTCATAAAAAATGGTCTTGTTTTGCTACTTCGAATGGCTCAAGCTCATACACGAGTGTCACAACTGATATTGAATATATTAAAGCGTTCGAAAGAGATTTGAAACGCCACCCGGAAAGTTGGTTTAACGCTTTGGCATCACTGCATAGTATAAAATAAAGTCGTCCCGCTGTCCGTTCTCTCTAGTTTCTTTCATATTTTGAATTCAGGGGCGATTACATCGAATTCATAAAGGAACACCTTTACACACTACAATTAATAGTAATTTACACAAATGGCTTATTTCATTTTGTTATGCTTTAAACTGTACACGTAATACTTGAATTTTTTGCAGTGCTTATCTCTGCTCTGAAGATGAAACATTAAAATTTTCAGAAAAAATGGACGAAAAGTTTTTCACCGCTACGGCAATCGAACACACGTCTTCGGGATTCGAGCCCAGACGCTTTAATCACAAATACAAAAATCTCAACGTATTTCATGTCCATTAATGTTTCGCATTTTAAGCAAATCTTGGCGTATCTTTTGTTATGTCCTTTACAGGACCTTGAATAACGTGAATTATCCGCTCAAGCGTTAGATTAATTGCTTAATCCATGAATATTGAAGACCCTACCTTAGGAAGCTCTGGAAACACTGATTTATCAGCGTTTAATTCTATCAGATTAAGCCGATAAGTGATACATTGCCCATCCTCTATTGACATGTCAAACTACGTTTTACTCATGGGTACCACCCATTTATTCGGTTAGCCGGAGTTCGGTACGAGCGTTTGCAGAACTTGGCTTGATTTATTGAGTCGATTGAAAACTTTCAATAGTGAACAGTCAAATGGAGATAATTGATGGCCCAGTTTTGTTGCCAACTAGGTTGTATACCATCGGTCGCCGATAAGGATTTCCCAGAATTTATTTTCGAAAATATTAAATTGTAAATTTTTGTGGATAAATGAAAAAACCTTTTCAACCCAGCGCTGCTGGGTCCAAACCTGCGTCTTCTTGTTTCGCTCCTAGACACTTTACCAACTAAGCTAAGTCGTTGACCCCACGGCGCGGATTTAAAGTTTCATCTTGAGTGTAGAGACTAGCACTAAAAATATAAATTAATTATAAAAAAATGATTGCAGAAATATAAAAAAAATGACTTTTACACGTACAGGCCTCTGCGGTTTTTGCCTGATTTTGCGAATTTTCTGGCGTGACAATTTTGCTAGACACACAATTTTAAGGCAAAAAGCATAAGTCGTGACAGAATATGTCTGTATATAAGACAAAGGTTTTACAAAATGGTTGTTGCAGTTAGATTATATACGACATAGTTATAAGTTCTCACACGGGAGAAATGGAAAGTTCTTAAAAAAAGAAATCGATATGAGTCTTATTACTGTCTGAAATGTGGACTACCGCGGACTAAATCCTGACTTGAGTCTATCAAAAATCACAAGCTTGATCTGTTAGCTGTATCATCGGTCGAAGCTCTGATACGAAATACATAAATTATATTTTGTTATTTATGATAAGGTTTATTTATATATTTATTACATTGATATACAATATACAATTAACCCCAAACTGTCTTCAGCTACGGAATGAGTAACTGTACGCCGCGAGTAAATGTAATATTATGTAATATTACAAGTTTGTGGTTTTCATACAAATGGCATGGCATTTGTAAACGTTACCCTAAATATGAAATACGACGTTGCAGCAACGGCTGTAACGCCTTATCTCTAAGACTGTTGGTTTCTTTTTGCTTTTTAATCCGGAAGATGTTAATAATAGTCAACTGCGCTTGTTCATGTATTTATGTATGCTTAATGAGAATTAAGATATACTTTTTATCGATCAATATTTGATTTGTTTTAAAAATGGAACAAATATATGTTTGTAATTTTAAGACAGTTGCATCGGGCGTTAAAGAGAGTACATAATTAGTTTTTGTTATATACACGAAATAGAGCCGTGATAGCTCTGTGTCCGGGCGCTCGCCTTTAATTCAATATACTCGGACAACCTGAGTTCGATCCCCGGTGCCGGGGTGCACCAATGAAATTGTTAATTTTAAGTGCCGAATTATCAAGTGCTCAGCGGTGAACGAAAACATGGTGAGGAAACCTGCATATTTTCGAAATAATAACAAAAAATATTTCGAAGATATGTGAAGTCCGCCAATCCGCAGTGGGGCCGCGTGGTGGACTATGACCTGATACCCTCTGTACAGAGGAGGACTTTGCCCAGCACTGGGACATGTATAGGCTGATACTTTACTTTTTTTATATAACGATATAAATATTCGTTTCTTGTTGTTACGCCATAAAATGAAAAACTAGCGCACCGATTTTCATGCTGTTTTCACCAATGGATAGAGGAAGGAGATCCTTGAGGAAGGTTTAAGTGGATAATTTGTCAAGTTTTTGTATGCATTGTCTTAAATATCATATTTGTAGGAGGTATCGAAAAGAAAAAGCCCTCTGGGAGCTTTCAACGAAACGCTGCCTAAAGCCTTTGAGATATAACAAAATGATGTATGTAGGAATTGTGTATCTTATATAGATCTACAGAAAAGTCAAGACAAACAGACAGACGGCGGCGGAGGACTTTATTTTATAATTTGTAGTGATAGTGATTATGTTAATAGATGCTATTAGACTCGTCTTTTACTTAAATATAACTGGATGAATTATAAATGAAATACATCAAAGCGCCAGCCTTCTGACCAAACAAAAAAAAAACACGATAGTCGCCCGCTCGGATCGAGGATTAAATATAAATTCCCTCCATAAACTTAAAGCCTTGCATTTAAAGCATTGCTCTTTTGGGTAAAATATTTGCTGTGTCGAGTCAAAGTTTTTTTTACATTCATACCGTTTTTTTCGTCAAGGTTCTTTTTGTTACCTGCGAAATGAATATTATCCTTCGATAAACAACATTACTTGTACAGAAACATATCTTTCATCATTCACAAACACAATAAGTATTTTATTTGATGGTAAATAATCTATCGCTCGATAATAATTTTCTCGTGCGGAAAAAGGACTTTAATGAGATTTATTAATAGAGACAACAACCACTTAAGTTCACAGTGGTAACTAGTTTAAAACTATTATATGCCTCGATTTCAAAAGGTATTAAGGAAAACTAGTAGACGCAGAGTGGGCGAAATTCAACCATAATTAATTTAAATTATAAGTTTGAACAATATTAATCTATTCTCAAATACAATACACAATAAACAAAAGGGTATATATGCGTGTGTGTGTCAAATACGTATATTATTGTGTGTAATTTTTCTATAGTGATTTAATGTATTTTTTATGCATATTTAAAAACATTATAGTATTTTATTAAAATATGCATAGAATATATTGTTCTGTGACGCGGCAGATTTTGCAACAACGAAAATTACGAGTAGAAAGTTCATTTAGACTCGGAACATGTGCTAAGGTTTACAAATTTAGGGCCACGTGGGGATCGAACCCATAACATAGCGAGCAATGGTCGTTAGCAAAGTAAAAACACTACTATGGTGTCTACGCAGACAAAATATATAAGATATAATGCTGAATAAAAGTTTTCAGATTATTTTTCTTATGAAACACTATCACTGCTTTGAATAAATAGAAATTAAAACAGGACATAACATAAAACACCAGTAACACACCTTAGTTAAAAGGTCCTGGTCATAAAGACTATTAAACTTTTTTTTTTATGCGAAAAGTTGTCAAACGAGCAGACGGTTCACCTGATGTTAAGTGAATACCGCCGCCCATGGACATCTGACACACTCGAGGGTTACAGATGCGTTGACAACCTTTTGAAAATTGGGCTCCGGCCACCGCACTCACCAGACGAAACGCGAAAGTATTTGTCATACTTCCGCTTTACGCTGGTCTTCTGTGAGGTCGCGGTACGTACCCGGACGAGCCTGCCCATTCGTGCAACAGCCGAGGCTGCTGCGTGGCCCTACCACCGTAAAACGTTGTGGAAAAAACTTTATTGTCGTAGGGCCACGCAACAGTTCGCTGTTGCACGAATGGGCAGGCTCGTCCTGGTACGTACCGCGACCTCATAGAAGACCGGCGTAAATTGGAAGTATAATACAATACATATAATATACAATATATATATATAATCTAATATATAAAATTCTCCTGTCACGGTGTTTGTAATTGAACTCCTCCGAAACGACTCCATCGATTTTCGTGAAATTACGAATTGCTGTCAACATCTATTTTTCATCACACAATTCCACTCACCCCTAATTTATTTTTTATTTTTTATATAAAATTTTTTGTTTTTATATTTTTATGATACAGCATACAAAAATACATACAACCCTAAATTTTCACCCCTAGAGGGCAGCGGCTAGTAATTATATAATACTTTCACGTTTCGTCTGGTGAGTGAGGTGGCCGGAGCCCAATTTCTCAAAAGGTTTTCAACGCATCTGGAACCCTCCGGTGTAGCAGATGTCCATGGGCGGCGGTATTCACTTAGCATCAGGTGAACCGTCTGCTCGTTTGGCATCTTTTCGCATAAAAAAGAACGTACCTCTTCTATCGCATCTAACTGGACATCCGCTAGTCCCCCGTTCGGCAGATCTAGCGGCGTCTCTTTGGACTGGGTGGCGATGGACGAGTGTCGGGCGGCCGTCGCCCCCGCGCCCCCAGCGCTGGGCCTCGTCGCCTCCAAGAGCACCTTGAGGGACGCTATCGCGTGCAGCTGCGTCGCCTTCTCGTCCACCTTGCCTGCGGACAAAATCGGACCCGTTTGACGTCAGAAAAGGTCGAGCACGTTCGGTTCTCGCCGAGGGTTCGGAAAGAGATGGTGGCAAATGTGCGAGTGGACGGGAAATGGTACCACCAATGTAATCAGAAGCGTACCATGAGATTTGCCTCGCATCATCGGAGGAAACGAAATATTATTTTATAATATTATCGGAGACATTTTTACACAACGTTCTCTAGTCCCAAGCTAAGCAACGCTTTTACTATGATTACCAGAAAAGTGATACATACTTTTCTTTGGTAAATAAATACATATTATACATATATAAATACCCAGACACTGGAAAAACACTATGTTCATCATACAATATTTTTCCACTAGTGGGGATCGAACCCATACCCGTCAGGCGCGAGAGGCAGGTTTACTACTCGCCACGCATCTAAAAACTATCAAAAAGAATAAACATGTCTGACTATGTCAGTTTGGGTGGAACTATGGTACCTCCTTGATAAAGCCAGTACATATTATATGCAGGAACTAAAACTGAGTCTACTGCTAGACTAGACGGAGTTTATGAACAGTTTCATAGAGTCGTATATATATTTGTAACAAACGAACAAGCTCGTTAGTTTGCATTGAAAGGTCGCTGTGTTTTTTCTATAGAAGATCGTGTTTTACTTTTAAGTAGGCGCTCCTTTTATAGCGTAGGTGACGCAGTCGGAGATAAAACAAGTCGTCAATCTTTCTTCATTTAGGTAAATACGTCGTACAATTGTGTACAACAATGCTCTGTCATGAATGTTTTCTTATCATTTAATTCAAACGAGGAAAAGGAGACAGCTGATGCTGCCCTCAGTTAATTGAGCATGTTAAGAGTGTTTACTATACGTAAAAGTCCGTGAAAATACGTAAATGTGCACGAAACCGAAACTGGATCATTGATAGCGAGTCCAGCAGTTGTCGTTGTTAGCAATTCAATCCGAACGATATTGTTCCTCTCGTATTTGGGTCCATCAAGCTGCGCATTGAGAACTTCTCCCCGGTTCCGCCGGCGTGATAAAATGCAAACGAGCCAACGTTCCCGTTATGCCCCCACGAATGGTGCACAATGGGGTACATCTTAAAGAGCTGCGCCGCGGGCCCCACGACAATGGCTCGAGAGGCATTGTTGGGGGCACTATTTGCGGATTCACGACGGTCCCGAGCGCCTCCCGCCCCGAGTGGTCCAGGCCCGGTCGTTAGAAGTCGGCTAGTTTTGAGTTCACCTAGTTACGACTTGCGGCGTCGTCGACGAGTTCAGTTTGAAGACATTTATTTATCACAAAAACATTACACAGTTCACTTGAAACGTGAAAAACATATAGAAGAAGTTAAAAGACGCGAGCGTTTTAGGAGTTTTTTTAAATAATAAAGGTTTTCATGGTACATCTGCTTGGTAATTGGTACGGAATAATGTGGGCTAAACAGACAATTACCCGATTTGTTTCTTAGCAATGGCTTTCACAAGTAATTATTATAGTCCAGTTATATTAACAAAGTGATATTGTACAGATAATTTTATTATAAAAATAATCTCGAAATTCCAAAATGGCATATTAATTAAAATTGTGGTGGAAACATATTTTGTCCTTAACGTCCTTCTCCAGCCTTGGACTTCTGATGGTGTGTGCAGAACCCATTAATACTGACGAAGGTTCGCCGAGCTTAAAAGATAACGAAATGGTGACAGTGCATCATGCTATACAAATATCATATGACATATGAGTATTTATATAGCACGGTGGTTTTAATTTTTCACATTTTCTGCGGCTTTTTTCTGTCTTTAACTTTAGTGTTTTGTATCATGATTTTGATAAAGACATGAAAATGTCTGTTTCCAGTCTAAATTTCGTAACTGAGAAATAAATTGAGTTACAAGTGTTTAAAAACGGCTTCATTTACTTATTTACCTTATAAACTGCCACGAGTAATTGTTTTTTTATGAATTTTGTGTATTTCGGCTCAAACAATGCGTATCTTTTGTACCTTTTGTATTAGATCTGGTTTCCATTTTTTTTAGTTTATGTAGATTTTGTATCCAGTTTTCGAGTATAGTTCTTTATAGTTGTTTATTATGGTTAAAGTAGTCTGTAAATGATGTGTATTTATTTTTTATTTATTATTCTCAGTTCCATTCGTTAGGTTGAGTGACAGAAAATGCTTTTGGTGTAATGCTCGTCTTAGTGCAAAGATTTTTATTATGTGCACACCGTAAATTTTTCTGGTACTAGCATTGTTGCTATTTTATGTTAGCCTATTGGTACTATATAAATAAATATAAATTTGCTCTTTGTTTTAGAGACTCCATCAAATAGAAAGTCGTCGAGGAACTTCTGTTAAAATAAAATTGCCGTTCACTTCGATAGAACTTCATAGCCGTGGTTCGAAATCTTTGAAACAAAACAGTCGAACAGTGAGAATCCCAATTCAGTGGTCGGCGGAGGTTTTCGTTTAACTTAATCCCAGTATCACCTGAGATCGCTACTCGTAGTGGCCACTGCTACGCTACGTTAGTTACAGCTCGCAACTAGTTTTTGCCGCTTTCGCAATAAAGCCAACGGATTTCGGCTTTGTTGAAGCCATTTTAAGCTTTACGTTTCACGTTGCGGAACAACGTTCTTTAATATGGCCCGAGCTGCATTTAAAATAACGGGTGACAAGATGCAGGATTTCCCGTTATCCTTGCTTAAGTGATGTTGTATTTATTAAAACCAATCTCGGCCAATTTTCAATGCTAGCAAGATAATGTAAAATATATAACACTTTGTCAAAAATTCATGATATAGATTTAAGCATGTCCTTGGAAAGATTTAAAAAGTCAATCTTGGATTATTTATTGGACTGACGTTATATGTAAGTATTAAAATTGATATATCTGTTGTATCTTTCGAGTCCAAAGACCAAAACCAATGAATATAACATGAGATCACATGTGAGCTAAACCGAAGACAATACAAAAAGAGTTTTTAAGACCAGTTCAGAAATGACGCAGTTCTGAAGTAACGAACATAAAAAATATACAATCGTATTGAGAGCCTCCCCCTTTTTTGAAGTCGACTGAAAATCGATCGATTTGAAACCATAAATCGAACATCATTTTTACTGCAGGGATGCTGATAGTTAAACCGTCCATAATTATAGTACTCTCTATGGTTACCCAGCAACGGAAGAACATGAAACATTCGTTGATACGTAAATGGGTCGATCTAGACATTGCATCGCGAGCGCGTCTGTGCACAAATGAAAACTTTCATTCGACAATGGGAAAATTCAACGGGCAGCGGACGAAGTTGGGCTGAGAATCTGTCTGTTGCATTGCAGATTCCGTAAACAGATTGCTGCTGTCGTGCGTCGTGCGGAAACGGTTTGAGATTTTGCCAGTAGTTCAACGAGTTAAACAGTCAGTGAAATGATTTCTGTAGCCACGTTAGTCATGTTAAAATATTTGGTGCTGTAAATCAGTCATGTCAAAGTCAAAGTATCTTTATTCAATATAGGCTTAACTTAAGCTCTTATTGAGCTTCAACAAAACAGTACCACCTCAATGTCACATGATTGATTCACGGCAGATGATGAAGATGAACAAAATTACAAACACTGCTCTTAAAACATTAACATTTTTAAACGGTTTTATTTAGCTCGACCCGTACGGAATTTGTTTGTTTATTTATTTGGGTCAAAATTAGAAATTGAAATTTAAGCACCTTGCCGTTGTCGGATTGATCTGAAATTTGGTACACACATTAAATTTAGATGACAATACAATATTAACAAAAAAAATTTAACAAAAAAAAAACATAAAATAAAACCGTTTAACTTAAAAGTTTATATATAAACAACTTAAATGGGTGCAGTCCTGTGAATGACCGGTTTAGTTGCTTTTGAGGTGTAAATACAATAAATTGGTGAAATTTAAATTTCAGGAGACAAAATATAAAAAATGATAATACATCTAACAGAAAATCAAGCTAGCAGTGTCATTTCTAAAACACGGTGCAAAAATAAATGTTAACGTTATATGTAAGTGCTTATTAAGTGCTGTCATTATGACGGCCCGTTCAATCAATCAAACTAATATTGCTCATAGGATTAAACATTGAATGGTGCCGTATTTGAGAATCTTGAATTTATTAATAAATTAATAGTTACAAATGTCCATACTTCATAAACATTCAATAAGAATAATAAGAAAGCACTTAGTTTTATTGCAGTGTTATTTGTCATTAAATCATTATTTCATGTTACTCTGATGTTTCGGAGGCAGTTCACATTAATAAAAAGTTTTTTAAATTGAAAACTTGAGCACCTAATTTTAGATCCTAATTTTGAACATTTTGAAATCCAATTTTGACCACTTTGCTCTGCTAGCGTGACGGATATCAACATCATAGATGGGAATCACTTGGCATCGGGTAAGCAGACCCCTGTACAAGCTTCTCCCATAGAAACGTATACGACGTATTCCGTTCTCCCATAGTAATTTATGCGACAAAACGTATTTACCCCTAGGCTTATTTAGAGGAATTCATGGGAGATTTCTATTTGATGGATGCATATAGTTCAGGATCGTGCTTCGTGGCAGTCTGTATGAGGTCTATGTTGAGCACTGGTCTCAAACAGGCTGAAATGATGATGAGGTATTTTGAGAAATGTGTGAGTAATCTCGAATTACGAAGATTTAGAGAATATCAATATTTAGTATAAAATAAAAATTAAATTTACAGCAGTGTCTATCATCAATTGGCAGAGAAGTGAAAACACATATTTAATTTATTATCGATATATTTGAGCCTCAATTGTCTCACACACACATTGCCCCTATAAATGAACGCTTAAACACGTACTAGCAAGTAACAAGCTCAAACTACAAACATTTTACGCGTTGATCAAGTCTTTATTCCTAGCCAAAACTAAGCAATACTGACATACAACGATAGAGTAGTATCTGTATAAACTATAAACACAACACAATGTTTAAACG